GGAGGAAATTATTTCTGGATTGAGGGAGGTAATTTTTTGGTCCCTGTACTATAGGATAGGTTTCTTGCTCAGCTTTGGTAAAACATCAGAGAAACACCAGCAAAAAACTAGTTGGTTTTGGCTTTGAGCCATTAAAGATTTGTTTTTTATGTGCATTGGTGTTTTACCTTAATATATGTCTGCATGAGGTACCAGATGCCCTGGAACTGGAATTACAGACAGTTGTGAGCTGCCACAAGGGTGCTGGGAATTGAACCCAGGTCCTCTGTAAGAGCAGCCAGTGCTCTTAACAGCTAACCCATCTCTCCAGTCCAAGAAAAATTTCTTAAGAAAAAGGTGGCTGCTGGGATGGGAAATGTATTCTATGCTTCTTCAGGTTTCTACTTGTAGTGCAGATGGAAGAGAGGCCTCAGTGGGTACCCACATGGAGACCCAAGAAAGAGGGAGGGGGCTCAGAAAGGGGGTGTTGTCCTCACGAAGCAATGTTTCAGTGGAGGGACCAGGAAACATCTTGGGGCAAATTATTCCCCTCCCTGGGCCTCAGTTTGGTTATCCACAAAAAGGGCCATTGGGCTATAATGTGTTGTGAAGAGTGAATAGGGCCACAGATATCAAATCATATTGGGAGGAAAGAAATGCTCAGCAAAGCTGGGTGCGCATCTTTATGGCCAGAGATCACACCTTGCTTACCAGGTTCCTAAATCCCAGCTTGGCTTGGCCTTCTGTGAGGTACACGGCTTAACAGACACAGTGAGCGGACATGTGACCCAGTGCCGCTGGCTGGCACCATTTACTCTCTCCACTCACCACCTGTCCAACCAGGGTGCCTCCTGTCAGGACACACGCTGAGTGGTGAGAGGCTCCATCTGCCTCGGGATCATGCAAGCCTGCCTCAGAGTGGCATTGTCGACACGTAAGGCCAGGTTCACGGTTTTCGGTGGAGAGCTACGCAGTGCCTTGGGGGCCTCTACAAATTCGATGCCAGTCCAGGCTCTGGTCTCACCCCCCTCTGGCACTGGGTTTGCTGGGGACACAACGACACCAGATGAAAACCACTGCCTAGAGACAGACAGCCTTGCATCGCCCTATGACTTGTCCCCTCTAAGACTCACGCTGAACTCTGATGTTATGTCGAGAGTGGGGCCTTGGAGCGCTGGGTGTTATGGGACTGAAGCCCTCCTCACAGGGGTGGTTGGACTTTGTGAGAGCTGCCTGTTAAAGGGGGTCCGCCCTGTACTCTCTTGCCTCATGAGCTCACCTGCCCTGTAGTTTTTCCGTCATCTAACAAGGTAGCATCGAGCCCTCCGCAGATGCCACTGTCCCCTCTTGGACCAGAATCACAAGCTAAATGAATTTCTTCATACATTAGTCTGTTTCATTTTGTTACAGCAATAGAAAGCAGTCAAAGATACACACTCCCACACCCACCTGGGAGGCCATGTCTCGGGACACAGTAAGACCCAGAAGGACTTGAGACACGTTGAGCATCACACCCAATGAGGGAAGTTTAATTAATGCTGGTCCTCCACAGGGGCATCCTGAAAGTGTCCTCAGAAACTCGAGGGCTGCATGTAATATCTACTGGCAATTCTAGTATCTGCACTGTTAGACTGAGCCCCCTGGGAGTAGGTGGAGATCACCTGCCCTGCATTCAACCTAGAGACTGCAACCATTTTCCCTCCTGCATGGGTGGCAGACACTGAATCATGGCTTTCTGGAAGGCAGAAGGCCTTATGGTGATGAGCCCAAAACTGAGAGAGTAAAACGCAAGCCTGGGCTCCGGAACCGACCGTCTGGGTTTAGGTTGTGATGTCAGCGCTGTGAACACATCAGCTGTCACCCCTCCAACTGTATTTTTAAATGTGAACAGCCTCGCATGCTTAGCACTACTCATTTGGGGGTGCTTTGGACAACAGACAATTCAATTGCCTTTACCAGATGATGCTGACAAATGCCTCCCACACCAGTGTCCTCGGATAAAAATAACCGCAACTCCCTCATGGAGCTGTGGAAGAAAGGGACAGGAAGCTGGAGGGATGGGTAGTGTCTGGCACCTTCTGGCCCTGCCTGCCCTTGGTGATGCTGGCTTTGCGGCAGGCAGAGGAAGTGCTGATCCCCACGGCACACTGTGACCGTGGGCAGAGGTCTGGCTAGTCCTTCCATGTGCCACCAGCCCTGCCCGACACAGAGGGCTAACTTCCTCAGTTAGTACCCAGGGACAGGGCACAGAGCACTGGGTGAGCCTGGGCAGGTCACCTGGCCTTGCCGAGCCCCCTCTGCACAGTATTTTATAAGAGGTACCCTGCCACCTCTCACGTGAACTCTGAAAGTCCAATTCCCCATCTTAGAGGGAGACAGGGCAGCTTCAGGCAAACAAGGGCAGGCCTCACTGGGGTGACTGTGGGCCGCCCTCTTGGGGACATTTATCACCTGGGAATGCCACAGCACCTGAGGTCACCCTGCCAAGCATTGCACCATCAGAAGATGGGCTGTTTCTCCATGAAGTTACCAGGCAAACTACAGGATACAGATCCATGACAAGTCACGATGGGTCTGCTCAGAGGATCAGAAACCTGCCCTTCTGGGAGAGAAGCAGGACTCCGGGCAGCGGCCTTGGAAGGGAAGAATCCAGAGGCTTTTGAGTTCCCCTGGGGGAAATGATTATAGAAAGTCTAGGCATCTCCGGGGGCACTTTGGTAAGGACACAATCATTTTCCTCAGGCTGAGCACATCTGGGGCCAGCTGTGATGCAGGACCCCAAGCCACACGTCTCAGTAAGATTAAGGCGCTAACTCCCAAGTCTCCTCATAACAGCAGCCTCGGGGATTTCAGGAGGGACTAACACATACTCCACAAACTGAGCATGTAAACAGGCAATGTGTCCCGCGTAGCTGTGAAGTACACATGTCGGAGTGTGTGGGGGCATGGATACAAAATGCTATCAGATGGTCAGGTGGCCTCTGCCTTGTATTCATGGGGATTAGCTTTCTGCTGTATTGGCTCCAGGCCAGCCTCCTCCTCCACAGACTCTTGGTGATCTAAAATCATACAGCATGGTGAAATGCTTGCCATTTTGGACACTAGGCTGTCATGAGTTGTTTTCCTGACAATCTACAGTTCAACTAACTTACAGCATGGGCGCCATGGTACCTGGCTGAAGGCTGTGGTCACCAGATGGCTTGGCTTTCCCTGACTGAGATGGTCTACAGCTCATGTTTGGGGAGCGGATTCCCATTTCCCACAAACATTCAACTCTTATACAAAGAGATAAGGTTTCTCTTAACAGTCTGAAATAGCTCCTCACATTGAATTCCTCATCATCAAAAGAGAAGGGACCCGTACTAGGTGCAGAACCCGATTCTGGGGACCCAGAAGACAGTGGTCTTGTTTCACTTTCTAGATCAACTCACAGGGACAGAGCCTGGGGAGAACAGACACCTCTTACAAGTCATTTTAAGAAACCAACATCAAGTAAGCTATAACTGAGGGGGACTTCCTCCCCACCAGGCACCTTCATCATGTGGAAGAATTCACACAGGAGTTCTTGAACACAGTCCTGGCTAGAATTACAGTCTTCCCACCTGTGCTAGCTCATGAGGCAGGCTCATGTCTCAAAAACCACAAGTGATCATGACTCTAGGGAACTGTGTCCCTGGAGAAACCAGGTTGGGCAGGGGACTCTGAAGGGGCCTCAGCACCTGAGGAGAACGTCAGTCACCTGCACTCCTGGGTAAGCATCTGTGTTCCAGTGAGCTTTCCACCAAGAACCATGTCATGGTTTCACAGTCTGTCCCTTCTAGGAAAAACCAGCTCTGTCACTGAGGACCACCATAGTGGACCAGTGTCTGCTTCTGGACCATGGCCCCCTCATAAAGTGGCATTACCATCTATTTACACAGAAAGTGAAGGTAAGACTAACCACTTAGGGTTTCCACACCCTTAGAGATTCCCACCCAGGACTGGAGCCAGCTAATCTGGAGTATACACGCATCCCCATCCGTCTCTCCTTCTGTGGATGCTGGTGAATCTGTCTGGTGCTTCTCTCTGTCACGTGCCTCTCTAATGCAATATAGACAAGGAGCCCAGGGGGAAGGAACGTCCTAAGCTGCTGTGTCCTGAGGTCTGCTGAACAATCAGGAAAACCTACAGAGTTTTGACATACTTGGGTCTGACAGGCATCTCCAGAAGGCATCTGCTTCAATCCCACCTGCTTTCAATCATCTTAGGTGCTTTGTAAGGCTGTCCTAGTTTTAAAGCTATTCTGGGATGAGCATCCCCAAACTTCCCTCTGTATTCCTGCTGTCCCGGCATGCACCACGTCAAGAGGTCGACTATGGAAAGGCCCATCACCGTGCTTACCCACAGCCACCTGTCAAAGCCCCAAACCCATCATCTTCTCCTGAACCCCCAATCCTTCCTCTACCTTGGGGAGGCCATTGGAAGCCTGGTTTGTCAGATGGAGTCTTAGTTGAGAGTCTCAGCTTTTCAGTTGTGCATCCCTTAGCTCTGGTATGGAAGCCCCTTGTCCTTCCATCTTGAGACTGTGCCAGATGCATGCCATCCTTGTCCAGGGTGACTTAACACTGCTCAGAGCTCACCTCTGCCTCAATTTTTACTTGGCTGGGAGGGACAAACCAGCCTAAGGAGTGGCTGGGAGTGGAATGGGATAAATGAGGTAGGACAGCCTGGAAGACATCTTTTGGGCTATTCATCAGCAGGACCAAAGGATTACAGGGTGGTCTAGGTCTCAGCTCTCTTCCAGAAAGACAGTGATGTGCGATAAAATCTGCTCTAGAGCAGGAGACAGGCGCAGAAGGGACCCCGATTCAATTTTGCTTGAGTTTTGATCTCTCCCTGCCAGTCCTGTGTGCTCTTGGGTGGCTGGGAGATCCTTTGGGGACCCATCTGTAAGCTGAGTTGAGCAGTATGGTACTGTAGACATCTTCCAGACACTTAACCGTTTCTCTAAAGTACTTTCAATCCCAAACACATGGAATGGTGGGTAGATGTAGTTTAAACTAGGAATTTTGGCCATCCTGAGTAACTCTACTTCTTTTTTTTTCTCAACGTTTGTATTTGTGCAGTGATATCAAAGAAGTATTTGGAAGACATTTCAGGGGAAAGCAAATGAAGGTGAATTTCAACTGGGTTATTTGTTAAAAAATACACTGGAATCTATGGCTTCCCAGCATGCGATCCCCTACCCAGACACAGTCATTGTTCAGCGTTCCTGTAGATGCCCAAACCTTCAAATACTTGTATCGTTTATATAAAATGGCATCATATTCATGATTAACCCATGGCATCCTCCTATATATACTTTAATCATCTCTAGATGACTTAGAATGTCAAATCTAATGCCTACACACCACTTCGTTACAGTATGGCATGTGGAAAATTTAGGTTTTGTGTTTTGGAACATTCTGGAATCTTACATTTTTTTTTCTTTTCTTTTTCTTTTTGCAGTTGGTTGAGCTGTGGAGGCAGACTCAAGGATGTGGAAGGCCAACTGCATTCTGTTCACCGAGATAGTGTCATGGAGGCAGGAAGCATTTTGTCAGAAATGCAGAGGAGAAAATGGAAAGTGGGAGCTAAATACTTAATCGTATTGGTAACCACAGGACAGAAGCCAGAGCTGTAAATGGCCGTGGGGACCGGCCTGAGTTATTTAAAGCCACAGGAGGCAAAGATAGCCCTCGGGCCTATCCTGTGCTCTCGGTCACTTTTCTGGAAGCTGAAATGGAAGCCTCACCAAGGAATGGAATGATAAAAGGACACTCCTTTCCTGTGAAATGTCAAGAGGTTTGGGGCAAGGGGACTCTAGCCTGCCCCTGCTCGTCCCTCTATTGGAGAAGCCTCACTCTGGAAGGGTCTCGAGCTGGCCCCATGTGCCCTCTGCTGGGCCGGTGTGGAAGAAGGTTCTAGGGGGAGATGCGGCTCTTTGCCTCTCATTTCTGCTATGCAGGGTGCAAACAGCATGGTCATCACCCACTTAGTCCTAACTCCCGGCGACAGAGACACCGCTCCAGTGTCAGTCCAGGGGTTTTCTCGCTAGCCATTGCCCTCCGGGATCACACGGCCAGGCTTTTGGCTTTAAATGTCACCCGATGGTGTCTGGGGTCTGTTCCTACCAGACCACACCTCTCAACACCAGCATTGTCTTGTACTGGCACCTGACCCTTCAGCCTGGCCTTTCTGCTCTCCTACCATCCTTTCCTTGGACTTCTCCTAAAGCCTGCAAGCCAGTCCCCCCCACCCCAGCCCCTCGATGTACCCCAAGCTTTCAGACCACTCAACCCAGCAGCCCGCGTGAACCTATCAACCCCGAGCCAGATCTTGAACACAATCCCTACACTACACATTCCATTCCTCCAGCACTGACACAACCCTGGTGGTGGCCTGAAGATCTTTGACCCTGATGACCTGAATCCTCCCAGCTCTAGCTGCTGGCCTTTCTCCGTGGGGCAGGCATATCCCGCCTCAGGGCTTTCGCGCTGTTTCCCTCAGAGTTACAGATTCACTTACTGTGGAGTAAGAAATAAATACTTTGCTTGTTTACTGACCCCTTGCTTCAGGGTCAGGACGTGTCGTTTGGTCTGTTTTGCTCGCTACTTACTGACCCCCTCTGTCGCCCAGGTGTGGCACACAGTGGGCCCTTCATAAATACACATGGGGGCGTCTCATGAGCAAAGTCACCCGAAATGTAGTTAGCGAGATCGGAACGGACCCTTGAAAGGAGGCCAGAAACAACAGACATCGCCGAGCACCCAGCGAGGGCAGAGACAGACATTAACAGCCTGGGTGAACAGGAAAGGCTACACGGAGTGTGGAATCCCAGGAATCAGAAGATGGAGGGGCACATGCAGGCTAAGCAGGGCTGGCTCTGGGGGGAGACAGCATATTAAAACTCTGGGCCTCGGGCTCTCTGGGCAAACCACAAGCACATTCCTGAGTCTGCAAACTATTTGCTGTCACTAAGAGGAGGAACCCCAGGGCGAGCAGGGCTGGGTGGGCAGAGGGGTGGCTCCTAACCAGCTGGGATAGGGGTGGGGGGTACATAGAGGTGGAAGGCAGCCAAACCCCTGAAAACAGCACCCCCTCCTCCTTTTTTTTTTTTTTTTTTT